ATTTCGTATATGAATGTATCTCGAAAGAATATTCTGTTGTTGCTGTTGTTCTTGATTATATAGTATCAAAAAAAAATGTGATGAGAGAGAAAGAAAATGAAGAGACAGACACAGAGAGAGAGAGACAACAGATAACCAAACACAAGAAAAAAGTTTGAAGACAGAATAAGAAATTCATATACTTCAATTAAACTTCCACACAGGTTTTTGTTTGCAAAAAGAAACAGAAAAAAAACAAATCGTTACAACAATTGAGACGCAAAAAAAGAAAAAGTAAATAAAGTGTTGAAATATTTTTATTTCGATCCCAGAATATCAAAAGATTAACGATTTTCAACTAAGAAAGAAAAAATTGAGAATATTTTTTTATCGATTAAAATAATAAAACTATAATATTTACTGTATGTAGTTACATCGATTTCATCGGGCATTTCAGTTATTTGAACTTCAAAACGTTTTTGAACTTCATTAAGAACTGCAGCATCACTTTCATCAGCGACATATGTTACTGCTAAACCTTTCGTACCAAAACGACCAGCACGAGCAACCTAAAAATATGCATTCAATAATAAATAAAAAAACATATTTTGTTTTTTGAAAACATACACGATGGAGATAAGTATCAGTATCTTCTGGCATATCATAATTAAATACAATATTAACACGTTCAATATCCATACCGCGACCAAATAAATTTGTTGCAACAAGAATACGTGTTTGAAATTCTTTAAATTCTTTATAACGTGCCAAACTAAATTATTAAGTTTGTAAGTTGTTTTTTTATTTTTCTATGTGAAATTTTTTAATTAAACAAACCGATCTTCTTGTGCCATTCCACGATGTATTTCAACAGCAGGAAAATTTTGTTCAGTTAATAATTTGCATAAAGCTGTACAACGTGGTACGGATTTAACAAAAATAACGACTTGATTAAATTCCAATTTATCAAGTAAATCAATTAATTTACGATTTTTTTCATTTTCACGTAATTTAACGTAATGCTGACGAAGACCCTTTAAGATAAATAAAGTTAAAGTATTTAGTCATTAAGATATTTCGATAATTTTAAAAGAATAATTTGAATAAATTTAAGATAGATAATAATCCAAATAAATAATTGAAGTTGATTTGAAGATATTTTATAGTTAAGATATGAACTTTATTAATCTCGAACTGCCTAGTTATTGTTCATCTAAGATTTGGACAGATGATAAATATTTCAAAGTATGTCATTATATCAATAAAGATTTTCATTTGACGGAATGATGTTGTCAACATGGTCTATGTATGTATATCTAAACCATATTCAAGAATATAAGACTCACTGTATAAATATCTAAGAAGTATGTCATTCTCTAATATCTGAATAAATAGTACTCATCTTTAATTATATTATTGTGCATAAATGAATATACTTACATGGAGTGTTAATTTAGTTTCATCATCAATATAAATTTCCATTGGCTATAAAAAAGAAACAAATCTTTTATTAATAAATCTGTTTTTCTCTTTAAAATATATTATTAAACTTACATCTTGCATAAATTTCTTACATACAGGTCGAATTTCTTTATTTAATGTAGCACTAAACATTAAAACTTGTTTTTCATGTGGTGTCATTTTAAATATTTCTTGAACATCACGACGCATATCTAAGAAAAATAAAATAGAGTTTTATTTTATGCTAATTATTAATTAACTAAGATCTTACTAATTGATTCAAGTACTTTGTCACATTCATCAATAATAAAATGTTTTATTTGACGTAAATTAAGAGCTTTACTTTTAGCTAATGCTAAAATACGTCCAGGTGTTCCAACAACAACATGTGGACAATTCTTTTTCAAAATATCTTCATCATGAGTCGTTGGTAAACCACCAAAAAATACTGAAACTTTAACTGATGTCATATATTTGCAAAAACGTTCATATTCTCGACTTATTTGAAAAGCTAATTCACGTGTATGACAAAGAACAATGACAGATACCTTAAATAATATTTAATTTTATAAAAACAAAAAATAAATCAATTATATAATTTTACTTGTCCATCAATAGGTTCAAGTTGTTGAAGTGTTGCAAGAACAAAAACAGCTGTTTTACCCATACCCGATTTGGCTTGACATACAATATCTGTACCAAGAATAGCCTGTGGAATGGATTCATGTTGTACTATTAATATAAAAATAATAATAATAATTCGAATTTTAATTGTTTTATAATTCTAAAAACCTTCAGATGGATGTTCAAAACCACAATCCATAATAGCACGAAGTAATTCAGGTTTAAGAAGAAAATCTTTAAAACCACTAGCATGTATTGATACATATGAACCACGTATTGTTCCACCTTGTGTACCAGTTGAACTTCCATTTTGTACTCCTGTTATTCCACCATTTGATGTTGCACTTTTCGTTCCTGTTTGTGGTGCATCATCTGTTTCATCATAATCAAGAAGTTCTTGTTCGTCTGTCATTTTTTATTTTATTTAATCTGAAATTGAATATTATTTGTCTAAACATCATTTCGCTTTTTTTTTCAATATCTAGAAGAACAGAAAAAAAAACATCAATAGATGTAATTTAAATATTCGTATGTATATATATATATGTATGTATACATATATATATATTAATATTGGTTTTTTCTTTTAAATAAAGATAATAGAAAAAAAAAACAAATAAGCAACAAAGACAAAAAAAACATCATCATTCGTGTATTATCATTGACCAAAAAAAAAGAAGAAAAGAAAAGAAAAGAAATTCATTTACACGAGAAGAAAAAAGAGAATATATTTATATTCACTGTTATTTCTTATACATACGAATGCATAAAGCATTAGTTTTTTTAAAAGAAAAAAAATGCTTTTGCCTAAAAACAAATAGATTACACGCACACACACATACAAATGCATTTAGTTTTTATTATAGAAAAAAAAACACGGAGAAAGGATAATTCTTTGTTGTTCTGAAAATTTTGAAAATGAAAGGATCTTAGTGTTGCTATATCAGTTCTGATCTTATAGACAGATCTTTGGAATGCGTACGGAGAGAGAAACAGGCAGATGTTATTTTAAATGGGTTTAAGAATTGAAATTGTAAAACAATGAATGTACAAGAGATAGAAAAAAATTTGTGCTTATTTTTTCTGAGAAGACAAATGAATAAGAACTAGACTAATGAGATAGAAACATAGACAGAAAAGCTTTTTACAAAGAAGAAATTTTTAAAAAAATGCATAAGCTTTTTCATGTTTTCTTTTTTCTTTGAAATGAGAAAATGAAAGAGATTTGTTTTCCTAATGTCGAATTTTGTTTCATTTCATGAGGCAGTAGCAATTGTTTGTTGAGGTGTAGCAGGTGGTGTATGTGGTTCCTGTTTCTTTTCAGCAATAACTGGATTATTAGTTGAAGAAGAATTATTAGGATTAGTCGTTGAACCATTCCAAGATGAATTTGTCGGAGTTGTTGGGGGATTCGCTGATGGAGCAGCGGGTGTAGAAGGATTCTGTAAGAAATAAAAAAAAAGGATTTAAGATATTTATAGAGCGGATTGGATAATTTATTTTTAAGTTAGTCTTCGTTATTTAATAAGATCTAAATTTAACATATGAATATTTAAACAAACCTGATTATGATTTGTCGAAGATGGTGTTGGTGGAGAATTGGAAGAATTATTATTAGTAGTTGTTGATGTATTTCCTGATAATGAAACATTTGATGTCGTTGAAGTTCTTTTTCCTGTTGATGATAAATCTCCATTAATTGGTGTGGAGGGAGGTGGAAATACATTTGAATTTGTATTTGCATTTGGTGTTGGTGGACCACCCGTAGAAAACATCGATGGTAATTGTTGTTGCTGTTGTTGTTGTGGTGATCCAGGAAATGACATTTGTTCTCTTTTCATTTGATTTGGATGTACAAGCGGAGAATTCGGTAGAAATTGTTGTTTTTGATGAAGTAATGATTGAAGATTTGGATTT